TATATATATATATATATATATATATACACACACATACAGGGGTGCACATAAGTGGCAGGTAGGTGCACATGTGCAACCAAAATAAAAAATGCACTGTGTAAATAAGTTCAGACCACTCTTGTGTGTACCGACATGGTTGACAGCCGTAAATGCACAATCACCATTTTAGATCGACTAACTGTAATACTGTATAAGTTATTGTATATTACTGTATAAATTTCCATTCAAACTGAAAGCTTACATCTCTGCTATGTGCTGCCTGTTTCAGAGTGAAATGCAAAACTGTTGACATTTCAGTCACTGACGCGCTTTACTTGGCAGAGCTAAAATCAGTTTTAGCGCTGCCAAGTGAAGCACGTCAGTGACTGAATGAAATGTCAACAGTGCATAATGCATATACTTATTTGCCGGCAACCCGCCAAAATAAAAGCTCGCTGATTTTGGTTTTGAAAATGTTGAAAAAAATTATTTAAAAAAAAAAGTTAATATTAGCATTGTATTTTTACGTGTACTATAAAATAACTTTTTATTTAATACTCACATTTTATTTTAAAATATAATAATATCATCACACTTTATTTATTATTATTTTTTTTTTTTTTAAATAAAGTGCACTAATACTATTATTACCATTTTATTTTTATAGCTATATTTAATGGGGTCCCACTATATGCAGTGTGAGCACCAAACCAAATCTCCAGGTGCTCTCATGAGAGCCAAACTGAAAAACATATATATTATGATTTTATATATATATGAGATGTTTTTCTGTTGTTTACCAGAAGCAATGACAGTGCTCGCCCAGAGAGTGTTCTCAATGCTCAGACTTTCACTGACTGGAGGGTCTCCATCTTCCTGTCAGATGTAAAACACAAAGCTGGTCAATGTGGGTTTTTGTTAGTTCTTAAACTACACAACCCCTCTGACGACACTATATATTGAGCGATGAGATGTGTACTCACTCTAGTGAAGGTACCGATGAAGTTATGGATGTCAATGTTCGGTTCCTCAGCATAAACAAATGACCTGATCTGCAGTAGATCCTGAGGGAACATATAAATGACAATATGAAATAGCATTCAAAACGAATTGAACTTCTGCGATTAACTTCCACAATAATACCAGAAACATATAATGATGAAAATTAAGGCTTTTATAGATAATATTTATAGTCAGCAATTCTTAATCTCAGGTTCTGCCATTTCTTTTGTTCAAGGCAATGCTTCTTGTGAATAAAAACTCAAAATGCATGAATGAAAAAGTAAGCACTCTTCAAGCCCTGCTGTCACTGTGCATTCTAAGAGTTACTCTTAACGTAATTTATTTCATTATTTTTTATCTTCATTCACAAGTTTGACTTTGACAATGTGTTCAATAAAACAAAACAAAAAATACCATTGTTAGGTTAGTGTGACATTTGTTTGAATACATGTCTCTGTCTGTAGTTGTGAACTAGCTGAAGATCAGATCTAATTGAGTGATGAATTCATGCAAAAATCCAAGTAAATCCAATGCTCTTTTATGACTTTTAATGGCATAATAAACGAATCATGGATGAAACTCACGGCAGCAGTAGGGAGTCTCTGCGTACAGGCCACAGGGAGGCGTAGTTTCCAATCGGTTTCTCCATCCAACTGATCAGTCCTCAGAAAACAGGAGCCTTTATGATAAAAATCAGGAAAAAATGTCTAAATATACGTCAAAATATTTTAGGATAAAAAAAAGTCAAGTTTGATATCCCTAAACATTGTTTCGGAAAAACAGATCATTTCAAAACAGAACATTTCATTGTAATGTCTTTCTGCTGAACTCCAGAGGGCAGTGTGACTCAAAAAGACGTTCATCTTTTACTGACTGACTCATTTAAAGGGGTCATATGATGCGATTTCAAGTTTTCCTTTCTCTTAGGAGTGTTACAAGCTGATTGTGCATAGATAAGATCCCTGAAGTTGCAAAGACTAAAGTCTCAAAACCAAAGAGATATTCTTTATCAAAGTTAAGACTCTGCCACGCCCCCCTAAAACGGCTCGTCCTAACACGCCCCCAGATATCTACCTCACTATGTGGAAATATTACCATAATGCCACCCAAATGTGCACGCAAACAAAGAAGGCGTGGTTTCAGTAACCGCAGTTAATGTTGAAGCAGCATGTCAGGGAGACGCTGTGAGTTTCTAGGCGAAAGCAAAAGCACTATATTTGGCCTTCCGAAAGTAGATGCATTTAGGAATCTTTAAGATCACTTACAACAGAACAGCAATGCATTTTATGGACGACCGTTTCGTGAACCTAGGAGAGGAGGTAATTCTGACTTAGCTATGACAATCTGGCGCTTCTGAATCAGCTACTGTTTTGTTATTAGTTTAAGTATTTGCAATTGACTGTTCAAATGCGGAGTTTTGCGCATCGTGTGTGTGTGAGTGTGCGTGCGCGCGCGCGCGCGTGTGTGTGTGTGAGAGAGAGAGAGAGAGACAGGGTCACATCAAAGTGGAGTCAGCTGTCTTAACCGCGGCTTGTGTACTGCATCATTACTGTGTCTGTCACGCGACTCTGTTCCCCTTTCGGGCTCTGTCTTTACATTTATTTTGAAAGATGAAGCTTGCGATTATGGTAAGGGGCGTCACATTTCCGACGAGTGCTTGCGGTGTTCGGCCAATCACAATGCACTGGGTCAGCTGGCCAATCAGAGCAGACTGCGCTTGTCGGAAGGAGGGACTTTGTAGAAAACGAAGCGTTTGAGAGAGGCGGGGCATAGAGGACCTACAATAATGTACAGTATTTGAAAAATAATGTGTTTTTTGAACATTAAAGCATGTCAACATATTCTGTTACACCAAATACACAAAATAATGATCTTTAAAAAAAGCATCATATGACCCCTTTAATACCTTTACCCACCGCATGCAGTGTCTAAACTGATCACACGGCTTTAACGAAATGTGATCGCCAGCCAAACTGAACTGCTAGTCATGCAAACAACTCCAGTAAGCATAAAGCTAGTGCTGCCATTAGAGCATGTCACCCACCCAACCCCCACTCATTTAAAGATATGTCGCTCTGCCATTCAACCCTGGACTCTTAATAATTGCCTAATGGTGTCCATCTGCGGGGCAGATAACAATGCTTCCCTTCCCGTAAAACTAACACATCCACTACTACTGGCAACTTCCACCCCCCGAAAAACGAAATCTCAGCCAGGCGGAATTCCAGCGCAACCAGCGAGTTCATCAGATCTATTTAAACCAAGTAGTAGCTAGTAATTTTACCAAGTCCTACAAAAAAGGAGATTAAAAACTACAAAACAATTTGGGCTAGTAAGTAACCACCTAGTAACCATCTAGAATACCTTAGCAACAAAACTACACCTTAATGCTTTACTCAATTTGCTTATTCAGATGAAACATTGTCTTTTTTCGCATTGTCTTAAATTTGTTTGCAGTGTCTCATCTTTAAATTTTCAGCTACTTTGCATGCCTTGATTTTCCTCCTGGCTACCTTGAAATTTAAAAGACAAAAAGATTGTCATTCAAGATTGCATTTTCAGTCTCGACACAGGATCTACAGTGAGGTGACCAGATTTCTGAAATAGTTTTTAGTTCAATTTGTCAGTGTGAAATGATTTTAAAAATAGAGACAAATTTACCAGTTTTGTGATCATGGTAAATGTAGTAAAGTGATGAAGTACAAAAAAGCACACTCTATATTTAGCCATCAGCACACTTAAGAAATTATGTCAAATTAAATTGGTAATAATGTTAATCATCTAAATAATTACTGCATGAATCTAATGGGATAAATAAATACTATACTATAAATAAATAAATACTATATAAATATAAAGTAATGTAAAAATAAATATATACAATATATATATATATATATATATATACACAAATATAAATGTAAAAATAAATATATATTCTGTCTGTCTTAGTTTTTTTTATTCTAAAACTAAAAATAAATTTGAAATTACATTTTATAAACTGGTAAGTAATAACTATGGGGCCTTTTTACCATATAAACATAAATATAATATATAAAACAATATTTATTTTTTACAATATAAAAATAAATATACACAAATAATATATACACATAATAAAAATATAAATGTATGTTCTGTCCAAAATAAATATTCACGAATGATATAAATATAAATATATGTTCTGTCCATAAAGTTGGTTTGTGATTGTTTTTAGTTGTATTGTTTAATGAGTTCATTTTTTCTAAAACTAAAAATAAAGATGAAATTAAATTCACACATTGTATGAAATCATATAATGCTTTTTAAACAAGCATGAACAGGACACTGGAAACTGGCACGTCTGGTCACCATAATCTAAAGCAGTCAGTGTTTTAAAGAGAATGGCAAAAATCACAATGCATGCCCTCTTTCTGGGCAATTTCAGCGTAGCTCATTAAACGTCCGAGGTTTAGGCTAATGCCTCCATCCACATGCAGTTGCCCTCGCGGCCATGTCATTTCCCCTGCGCTTGCAAATACGGTTTTATATATATATATATATATATATATATATATATACTGTATATATATTAAGTTTGGGGTGAAAAGAATGTGATATGGACATGCTTTCATTAGATTCACACATGAGGCTGAATAATAATAAAGTTTTTTTACAGTGCTTTTTTAACAAAACCAGATTGAGCGCAGCCTGTCTGAGCCATCTTTCTGTGTAAAATCAACATTTTTAAGAAAATTAGCCTGGTGGGTAATTGGAGACTGCGGCCGCGTCTCAAATTTCATGTTCTCAGACTTCGCAGAGGGAAACCAACAGCGCAATTCCCTTACAATAGGCTTCAGTCTGAATGGCAAAAAGGCAACAGTTGAACAAAAGGCAACACTAAATACCAGAGTGGAATTAGGCAGGATTACTAATAACCAACCACTGGCCTCGGGTCACATGCTTCAGTCATTCAAAATGATTGACAGCTCTTTCCAGCATGAAATGCTCATAGACCTGAATGGGCCATTGGTTACTTTAATAAATAAATAAATACAATACAAATATTCTATGTTCAATTTATATATCTATAATCAAATTAAGCTCTAGTGTGGCAAAAACCATAGATTTTTGTTTTGAAAATGCACATTCAAGCACTATTTTCATTTTACATATACATATAAAGCTTGTTATGTCTTCCTGCCCCACGCAGGGGTCAGATTGCCTTAATCTCAGGGGAAGGTAAACAGCTAAAGCATTGAGAGGTATGAGATGCCATTTGTCAGAAGATCTCAATTCCTAACAATGAGAGAGCTGATTAGCAAACCAACCTTTTCAACAATGATAAGATCTCCAACCTGGATGCCACTACTTTTCACCTTCACGGTTCCTGCGGAGAGAGAGATAAAGAGAAAATCAGACTGATGCATTAAAAAAATAAAAAGTGTGAAAACTGTAGCTGATGCATACAATAATCATTTTAAACATTTAAGAACAACATTCATAAGCAATCTGAAAAAAGCAATGCCTAAAATATAAAAAAAATTCAATTGATTTAGAGTTCCCACGATTTTTAGATTAGAGCATTTTCTAGCCAATTGCAGATTTCAGAGCAAAGCTCATAATTTAAAAAGAAATTCCCTGATATGACTTTGAGAATTTTGTTCAATCCTCATACATTGTGCATTAGAAAGGGTTTATAATCCCCCAACAAACACAAACTTGCATAATAGGAATCAATGTATACAAAAAATTATCTAGGTTTCACCACTGGTCCTAAATCTGCATATTTCATGGCAAACCTCCAGTGAAAATTCATATATTTAAGCCTTCTTTAAGTCCCCATTCAGATTTCTCAAAAGCTCTGAGTGCATATGAGATTTCCATTTGTTATTAGACAATACCCTCCTATGCGGCTTTACGAGAGTGCTGTGAGAACGATCTCTCATTCCATTGAAAATGCACAGCTAAAATTGTTTGGAAAAGGTCAGGGACCTTTAACCCCTGTGGTGACCTTTACCAATGCATATGTAAGACATTAGCACATATGTGCATTCATTTTGGAATAAAAGGACACTTTTATTGCACTTAGGTCAGTACTATATTGTTGCAGATTTGTTTTATACAAACAGACAGGTTATTATTCCTATATTTTATATCTATCGCCTACTTTTTTAAAGAAACTCCACTGGTTTAAACCATTCCCCACAAGCTGGTCACTTGGTAACGTCCCCTTAAATTTCTAACTTCCAGAAACCAGGAAAAACTGTGTTCTGCTCCGGAAGGTGTGACCTGCGACCATAAATCCCACACCCACCTTTAATGGTGTGAGTCTATTAAAAACTGGCCTGTTGAGGGCCAGTTTAAATATGATAAACTTTGATGTTTTTCATCCCTGTTGGTCTGGGCAGGGCAATCAGAAGCCCTCCCAGGTAGCCAGCAAATGCCACAGCTCCGCTCTATGAGCCTTAAATGGAGGCCGTTACTGCCGAGCACACATACTCTGGCTTTATGAGAGAAGAGAGCCTGCCAGATCAAAGGAAGGCATGTGATGGAAACGACAGGAGGTTCTCTTCGTTTTTTATTGTCAGACGTTTTTCATCCCCCAGTATATGATACAATTTACATCCCTACCTCAAATTAAAGACAAACAGCAGTTTGCTTTATGGCTGATGCATCTGCATACTTTAGCACGCCTCGTCTGTTACTGTTTTTTTTTTTTTCTAATTTATGGAAATTTAAATGACATAGCAATTATATGAAAATGTTTGCAAATGACTTAAAATCCTTTACTTAATTTGGTGTAGTGGTCGACCGATATGGGTTTTTTCACAGCCGATGCCGATGCCGATATCTTGGAAAGCAGAGTGGCCGATGGCCGATATAATTTTATTTATTTTAATTTATATTTAAGACATTTGAAATAATTTGAAATCACTAGTTTAAAGTTTGTCGATCGCGCGTCTCCAGTCAAGCAGAACTCTCCTCCTGTCAGCATTCAATTTGCACGGACCGATATTATAATGTTTGCCTTTCTATTACTAATAATATTAAAGCAATCTTTATAATACCTTTTTGAATACATTTTAATTCCTTTGTCTAACCCTTCTATCTGATTATTAGATAGACTTCTATCCATATTAGACAGAACTGAACGAGGACAGCGAACGAGGGAGAATGTGAGTGGTGTGCGCTCAGGCGCCATCAAAATAAAAGTCCCGCCTCGAACACATCGGCCAAACAGAAAAACTTATCGGCCGATGCCGATATTTGAAAAATGCCAAATATCGGCTGATATATAGGTCGACCACTAATTTGGTGTTCTTGTAAATTTCGCATTATGCTATATTATCACCAAAGACTGGATTAAATATTTTTGTCAACTTGTTTTCTTTCAGTTAGCAAAGGTTTTGTATTTCTTTTTAGAACTGATTGATTGAAACTGAGTAAAAACCTTCTTTGTAGATAATTTTGGCAATATTCACTCAAAAACTGAGGTGCATAAGCTCAGATCAACCAGTTTGAAAAATAATTACAAACCTTTACTACATGAAAGAAAATAAGTTTACAAAAAGATTGAATCCAAGATTTAATAATAATACAGCCAACAAGAAATGTATAATCAAGTATTTGTAGGCCAGACATTTTTGACCAGAAATACAATAAGTATATAAAAAAATATATATCTAAAAAATAAAAATAAAATTCAAAATTCACACTACACAAATAAAATAAATAAATAAACAGATCTGTAACTAATCGCAAAAATTCTGAAAGTGACCACATGTTTTATAACACACACTTGCATAATGAATGTAAAAAGTTATATCTATGGCAAAAATCAAACCAAAAAACGACAAATCTATATCTTGAATTGAACGCACACTGCTAGACTTTCACAAAAACATTGACATGTATGAGAACAACGTTAAAAAGTACTGCGTCTACAACAAAAAAAAATGATTGTTAAAAAAAATCCACAAATAAAAAAAACAGCAAATTGCAATCTCGGATTTAACTGCTTATTGCAAACATTTGCAACGCACATTTAGTGCCTACATTACAAATCCATGTGCACTGAATCACCCTAAAAACCATTTAGGCCTACAACAAACAAAAACAAAAACTGATTGCTAATTACAAAGCATTTACATAAATCATTGCATAGGGAATCAACATCCAAATCTACGGCAAACAATAAAACGGAAACATTAAAAATATACAAAACCAGCAAATAACTCTCTCCAGCTGATTGCTCACTTCGCAACATTTACAACACACATTTAACTAACAAATCTAGGCATAAGGAATCAGCTTCATCCAATAAATCTACACACACACACACACACACACACGTAATAAGTGGAAACAATGGCTCACCTCTTGTGGAGAGTTTACTGTAGATCTGTGAATTGACCTCTTTGTCTCGTAGAAAACATCGCATCTCCTCGACAGCTTCCCTCACGATTGTAATAATCAAAACGAACCCCTTAAGAAAAAATTAAAATGAATGTTAAAAAAACAAAGCAAAAAATGTCTTAAAATTTGACCGTGAACATTAATATTAGGGCTCTTTATTATACCGAAGCTGTGGTCGGACTCACCAGAGGAACCCAGTATGTGTACAGAGCTCCTAATCTGAGCTCATTCACAAACTGTGAGCAGGCCAGCAGCAGAAAGTACAGGTTGAAGAAGTATTTGAACTGGTTAAACAACACCTATAAACACAAACACATGATGAGTGAAATGACATGAATTAGTGAAACCTGATATGACACTGTTTTACATCTCAAATAATTCTACCATGGTACTGAATATTCATACACTACTGTTCAAAAGTTTGGTGTTGGTAGGATTTTATAATGTTTTTTGAAGGAAGTCTTTTATGCTCACCAAGGCTGCATTTATTTAATCAAAAAGACAGTAAAAATAGTAATATTCTGAAATATTATTACAATTCAAAATAACTGGTTTCTGTTTTAATATATTTTAAAATGTAATTTATATCTGTGATGCAAAGCTGGATATTCAGCATCATTACTCCAGTCTTCAGTGTCACATGATCCTTCAGAAATCATTCTAATATAGTCGATATTTCTTATTATTATCGATGGTGAAAACAGCTGTGATGCTTAATATTATATAAAAACGGTAATAAATTTTTTCAGGAATCTTTGATGAATACAAAGTTCAAATAAACAGTATTTATATGAAATAAAAAAATATGTAAATTATATTATAAATGTCTTTACTGTCACTTTTGATCAATTTAATGTTTCCTGCATAAAAGTCTTTTTTAAATATAAATAAAAAAGAAAAGAATCATACTGACCCCAAACTTAATTTTGAGCCATATTGTATATCATATTTAGATATCATGCTTCAAAGAAATCATGCTATTACCATAGTACAATTCCAAAAAAGCATGGTACTACTATGGCACTTTTTTGTTAGTGATATTAAAGGATTTCTTCCTTTAACATTTTCAAATTCATTTCAACATATTTCCATCAACTATGAAACACACATATGTGACCCTGGAGCACAAAAGCAGTCTTAAGTCGCTGGGGTATATTTGTAGCAATAGCCAAAAAAACATTGTATGGGTCAAAATGATCGATTTTTCTTTTATGCCAAAAATCATTAGGATATTAAGTAAAGTTCATGTTCCATGATGATATTTTGTAAATTTCCTATCGTAAATATATCAAAACTTAATTTTTGATTAGTAATATGCATCGCTAAGAACTTCATTTGGACAACTTTAAAGGCGATTTTCTCAATATTTAGATTTTTTTGCACCCTCAGATTCCAGATTTTCAAATAGTTGTATCTCGACCAAATATTGTCCTATCCTAACAAACCATACATCAATGGAAAGCTTATTTATTCAGCTTTCAGATGATGTCTAAATCTCAATTTCGAGAAATTGACCCTTATGACTGGTTTTGTGGTCCAGGGTCACATATTGGCTCAGGTAGCAAGCACCATTCAGCTAGAATTACATGTTTTGACGATGCCAAACAGAGCTTCAAGTGTTTACATTAAACCACCTCTCTGTTTGCTTTTTTGTTATATGACAGAGTTCTAGGCACTCATTTACAAAACATTCAGAATTTAACTTTATCATTTGTCCTTCAAAACATTCAAAATAACCGGAAGGCATTTGCAATGCAAAATCATTTTTTTCCATAAAGCAATCTGGTCAAGGTTGCTTTTAAAAGTGGCGCTCGGCACGGCGTGAAGAAACGAGATTTTTACATTTTGTGTAAATATAAAAACTCCAAGTTGCTAAGGTGTTCTGTGTGGTTGCCAAGGCATTGCTACACTGATGTGAAAGTGTTCTGCGGTTGCTAGGGAGATCTGGGCGGTTGCTTATTGGTCAAAGTCAAAATTTAAGATTTCAGAGTCTGAAATCAAAACTCTACTCACAAAAGCAACACACCTCGCCTAAATGTTTCAAACTGCTCATGGTTGACCACCAGAGCAATTAAAAAACATGTTAAGCAACATAGACCGTTGCTCAACATGTTCTTGAATTACTCTGGTGGTAACACCAACTTCTCTCTGAACGTTCTGAGTCACTCACCCCTGGCAGGAAGGTGAAGAAATTGTATTTCTGGTTGTTTATGACATTTCTTGGGTATCTCTGCTCTCTCTTTTCCGGATGGCCCAACCACACGGTCCGAGGACGGAAATCTCCCCCACCGCAGCATCTGGACCATGGGCAGCACCTAAATACACAACATCATCATGAATGTGTGGCTTGATTCACAAAGCACTTCAAATACAGATACAGAAATGGAATAATGGATGCTGGAATTTCACTGCAGCCACAGAAATATTTTCAAGCAAGCAACAGAAGCGTGTCAGTAAATATTAGCTTTCACCATCTACCTCTTACCAACACCTTCATCAAACAAACTCTTATCAAGAACTATATATATATTGGGTATTTTACTTCCATATATGTGAAGCATAACTGAATGACAACAGCTTATAGAAAATAAAACTAAACTGACAAACTCAATTTGTGAATTTAAGACATTTAGTGAATTACAAACCCTGGTTCGAGGATGATATGGGATTTAGAACGTAATTAGTAATAAGTAATGCAATTTTTTTTAGAGAGAGTGATTAATATACGTAATACACTGATTATAATTAGTACCTAGAAATGTATATATGCAATGTATTTACGTATTCCTAGGCATTTAAAAGAATACTATGGTACTACCATGATACATGTCCAGAAAACATGGTACTTATTTGCTTAGTGAAAGCCACCAGAGTTACAGCATCAATAATTGTAACAATTGTGGCATTTTGACGGAAACTGTGGTTACCCTGGTGATTTTATTTGCACGTGCTTATAAATAGCTGGACATTATATGGCACTCAAAGACTGATCAGTGTGCCAAGTGTGTCGGCCATCCTCACAAAAGGCCTTAAAATCATCACACCGAAAATATTTGGCCAAAAAGAGCATAATACATAGGGAGAAATATTTATTTTTTTCTTTAAATATTGAGACACATCCTTAACAACAATTCACCTGTGTCCCGGAACACGGATGTGCACTTGCCTCTCCCATATACAACAATATCAAGACTCTAATATCGCTCAGACGACATCTTCATAGCGAATATTCAACGCTATATAAAAAAATAATAATAAAATAATGAGTTAACCAGTGTCACGTCGCGAAATTATGTCGTTATCGACAGCATTTTGCGGGTTAAGGGTTGCAGTGCTGTTAGCCATCATGCTATCATGCATAAACAAGCCTCCATTTTCCAGCCGACGCGTTTTTGTTGTCATTTAACGTCGTTTCGTGCTCTTACCCGTCTCTTCGTTTGTTGTCATGTCGTTTTTTGTGTCGGACGGGCTGCAGCGGAATGTTGTCCGTCATTGTAGTCCGCAGTGGAGCAGCAGTCGCCCGCGCGCTGGGCGGAGGCTTATGGGTAAGTTAGTTAGGGCTGCGCGCGTTCAATATGATGGGACTCAACAATATCAGCACACTGGCCTGTGTGTTTCAGCCATGCACAGGCATTATTCTCTTTATCATTATGCATTGTCTTTTTCTTTAGAATTACTCAGACGCTGGATATAAGTTTGTGCTCAATGACATATTGCTGTGGTAATAGTGTTTTTGTAGTTTCACCGAACTGTTGTATGGGTAGTTGTATAGCCTATCCAGTTTTCATCTTGAACAAATTTGTGTCTAAAACAGAAGTTAGACAAGGTTATATCTGCCATTTTTTGTCAAAATTGAGTTATTCACATATTCTTATTATGTGAGAACTTCTTTACATTATGTGATAAGTTTTGGGACTGATGTATGAAAGAGACTTGTTCCCCATATCACTAAATGGAATGCAAAAACTTTGAAGCTCTATATCTCGAAACTGCTCAGAATGCAGATAGAACCTTATAATTCCAAGGTGACAAAGTGTATATGTTCTGACCACATTAAAACATGTCAAATAGCCATAAACCATGATAATATTATGGTTTTCTTGTAAATCCTAGTGTGACTAGTGATGTGACATGTGGCCAAATATGGTGACCCATACTCGGAATTGAAAGTGGTGTGTCATATTGAGGACTTTGTAAAATCATACCCAACTATATTTTTGCTATAACTTAAGTGAAAGTGAAAGTGATGTGACATGTGGCCAAGTATGGTGACCCATACTCGGAATTAGTGCTCTGCATTTAACCCATCCAAAGTGCACACACACAGCAGTGAACACACACACACCATGAACACACACCCGGAGCAGTGGCCAGCCATTTATGCTGCGGCGGCCGGGGAGCAGTTGGGGGTTTGGTGCCTTGCTCAAGGGCACCTCAGTCGTGGTATTGAAGGTGGAGAGTGCTGTACATTCACTCCCCCCACCTACAATCCCTGCTAGTACGAGACTCGAACCCACAACCTTTGGGTTACCAGTCCGACTCTCTAACCATTAGTCCACAACTTCCCCTGTAGTGGTGAAATAACTTGTAAAAAAAATGTATATATATATATATATATATATATATGTCACCATTGGTTTTTTTAGACATTTACCATAGTAGTTCCACTGTATTTCTGAAAGTACATTGGAGTATCATCTAAATACCATGGTACATGATTTTCAGTACTTGTGTAAATAGCCATATAACCATCACAATATTTTTTGTAAGGGAAATAGCATGGTAGTCATTCAGTACCATGGTATACAAAGTTCATGTGGTTTTATTATGTATATTTAATATTCTATGTACCATGGAGTGAACACAATGATAGTAGTAGAAGGCTGAAACTAACTTTAAATAAAATTAAATCAGATACCTTTTTAAATGTCATCTATTCAGATTAGTTTGCCTTCATTGCAAACAAATAACTTACTAGTCATGTTTTCTGCTTAGACAACATGGGAATGATAATAAAACGCTTTCTTGCATTATAATCCATTTACACAAGTATCCCTCATGCTGTATCATCCACCTCAGTGTCCTCAAGTGTCTTTTCCCCCTATAACAGTAATGACTGCATGTTGATTTAGACAAAGTTTTGGAAAAGACATCCTTATTTTTATTCTCAAAATATCAGAAAAGAAGGGGAACAAACAAAAGCAAACATTTACAAAAAGTCTACACTGTAAACAAGCCTAAAACAGACTCAACATTTGAACAATCATACAGACATGACCCCATTTATCCAAGATCTGACACCACCTTTTTTTTTTTACATCTAGAAAAAAGGCACAGCTTGGTAAATGCATATTAGAAAGAGAATGTACAGGAGGAGTCTGCCTATTCTGAACAAGTGTTGTGCAAAGTGTCTGGCGATACATTCATTATATTACAGAAATCAGCAGGTTACGGGGGCACAATGCAACCATAACTCCAAACACAATGCCAAAAAAGAAAAAGAAAAAAAAAATCTAAATGAGGTAGAAATTTGACTAGCGTGAAGTCTCTACGGTTTAGATACTCTGTGTGCATACACACAAGCTCATTCCTTTAACTCATGCATGACTACGATCTCAAAAACATTTCCCCACAACAATACACAACTGGGTATCAAACCATGACTTTTTCCCCAGAATAAGAATGACTGCTGAGGTTTTGGGACAAGATATGCATGCCTGCTTAGCTCACAAGTATAAAATGCATGGTAAATGGCAAATTTACAGAATTCTAAAACTCGGTGGGTCCTAAAACGGCAGCAAGCAAGCAAATTATCTCTAAATGATGAGCCCAAGAAACAAACATTCCTCGAATAAATGACATATGCCTGGTTTCTATCAGATCTTAGCAGAATGAGGAAAAATAAAGTGCAAGGAATGATTAGGCATTTCAGTATTATACCGGCCTTTTAACCTCCTATTAAAAGGTCTCAAATGAAAGCAACTCAATCTAATATTTGATAAGAGAGAGAGAGAGAGAGAGAGATCACTGAAGGCAAGAAAACTACTACCAAATTAAATCACTTTCAAAAAAGAACAATTAATGACTTTTTGAAAAAGCTATAGATAAACTAAAAAAAAATAGCATATTGTGGTCTAAATAAAAGAAAGGCCTTTATTACAATCCTGTGGTGTCTTTTGTGAGGGCAAAAAAAAAAGAAAAAAAAAAAAGGAGGACAGAGGAGAGGGCGAAAAGCACTCCAAGACAGGCACTTAGCAAAATCATTTTTGGTATCAAGCGCACATAGAAAGTATAGAGTAAAAAAAAAATTTATAATAACTTAGTGAAATCCAGTTTCAAAACAAACCTATATTATAACTACTCATTATGTCCATCATTGAAACTGTAATCTTCAGTAGATTGTGTGGAATGGTCAATTTATCTAGGCACATATTCCACAAACACCTTTGCTGTATGACATCTATGCAATGCATGTTATTTGTGACTAGTGAACTTTAATGGAACACAGCTAACAACAGGACTATGTGTAGTCAAGCAGAGATGAACAAGATGTTAAACTGTTAAAACATTGAGATCTCTGGTCACCTGTGGCTGAGATCCTCCTGAGGGTCATAGAGCTGAGCCCAATGTAACTCACAAAGAGTACCCCATCACTAATGAGACTGCTCTGGAATAAAGCTATTTCAAGTAAGACTTACATTCAACTTCTAGAAACAAAACTGACAAAATACCCGCATATATTAGAGAGAGAAAGAAAAGAAAAACTACAGTAGTTAGATCAGATTCAACTAGAAGTAATCAATAGGATCCAATAAGGAAGGCATGGCCCGTTTTAGGGAATATGTAAATTTGCAACTTCTTAAAAGCAATTTTACATGTATGAATTGATTGTACCAACTAAGGACTGAATTAATAAATAGCCCAGTTTCTAACATTTCAGCAGGCTCATTAGCACAATGCAGACCGTTGATTGGGAACATCTGTCTGTAGTCCTTTTACTTTCTAATTCACTTTACCCTCCTCCATAAAATGTGGAAACTTTGCTATGCTGTCAGAGCCACTCTTTTCCATTTCTGCAATTGTGCCAGGGATGCCCATCTGAGAGGTCTCCATCTTGGTCATTCCCCCAGTAGAACCCACTAAAGGACCTCCAGCGAGACTTCCTGGGAGAGGGATGCCGCCATTTTGGATGACTGAAATCTCATTGGTCTTCATGGTCAGCCCATTTGTGAAGGCAGCGGCATACTGGTTCCACATCGACGGGTTGAAATTGATCGGTGGGGGAATCAAATCCTTTAGGGGCGGCAGCATGTCTGGTTTCATCTTAGACTCGGTGCCCATGGCCACCAAAGCCATTGGGTTATCCAACGAGAGTCGTTGACCTCGCCTTGCTGTATTATTCCACATGTGGGTCCCAACATGCACCTGTAAAATAGGAAACAAGAGTCAGTAAGGCTTATTGCAGTATACACAAGACATTCGATTTTCGATCAATTCACTAACAAAAATCTGAAGTCGAAAAGACATCTTCACCTTAAGGTTTCCCTTTGTTGTGAAAGCCCTGCCACAAATTGTGCAACCAAACGGCTTCTCGCCCGTGTGTGTACGTTCATGGATCTGCAGGGCACTGGCAGATGAAAAGTTCTTCCCACAGCAGTTGCAGAGATGTTGCTTGGTGGAGCGGCGAGGAGCACTGGAAGTAGCAGGAGGAGTGGCAGCTCCTTGGGGCAGTTGGGAGCTGTACAGGCCATGAGCACCCATGGGAGTCTCAGGAGGAATCTGCATCTCCAGTTTGACCAGACTTGGAGGCACCCTCATGAATGGTAACTGACTAGAACCTAAGAGAGAAGAAAACTTATAGGCAAAACATCAAGAGGAAATGTCAGTGCCATGTTAAGCATGTTGAAATTAACAAAACGTACCATATTCGCCATTGGAGAAGGACATGCCTGGCTCCTCTTTGATGGGTTTTGGGGTAAAACTTGACGTCAAGTCCAGTGCTCCACTGTTTTCGCTAAAATCTTGAGGTGCATCAGAGTCAGGTCTGGATTTAATTCCATCGTCTGGGTTTGTGGATTCTGGTGATTTTGATTGTCCATCACTCAGGGGACCATCTATAGGGGACGAAGAGTGAAAGGACACAGAATCTGACACAGCTGGACTGCGGCCATTCTTGTAATCCATTTCTCCAGACCCTGAAGGGGAATCTTTCAGCCCGCTATCGCTCTCAGAAGCAGTGCTGCCTTGTCGTTGCAGGTTCAGTGCAGAGGTGAGGCTCTTCATGTGGTTCTCCAGGGCAGCGATGCCTGTAAACATAGATAGTGGACCTTGGAAAGCCTGATCTTCTTTGGCAGCGGGCTGGGGCTCTGTAGAGATGTTCAGCTTCTCCTGATTGTCCAAATCCAAGTCTTGCTCTTCCATACTCTCTTCATGGCCAGTGAAGTCAATGTTCTTTTCCTCAGCCATGCTAGCATCCAGTGCTTCAGGACTTTCGAACTGATTCTCTGGCAGAGGGGTGTTGGGAATCTGGCCACCCATGTGCATACGAATATGCTGCTGGAGGACAACTGCATTGGTGAACTTTTTATGACA